CCTCTAGTCCTTCTATTATGGGAACTAATGAAGAACTTTTCTGTATGCACCCTCTCCACCCCACTCATGCTTTTATAGACCTCTACCATATCCCCCCTCCATCTCCTCTTTTCTAAGCTGAAAAGTCCCAGTCTCTTTAGCCTCTCTTCATATGGGACCTGTTCCAAACCCCTCATCATTGTAGTTGCCCTCCCCTTTCCCACCCTCTCTCTTCCCCTCTCCCACCTCCTTTTCCCAGTCTCCCCCAGTTTTGTTCAATAAAGAGAGAGTCTATTTTTGAACACAATTGTCCTTTATTTTGTACATCAGGAAGGGGGGCTAGGGAAGGATAAGTGGAAGGAGGTCAGGGAGGAATGGGGTACGAGCCCCCGATGGGGAGGACTGGGCTAGCTCTGCGGGCTTCTGGGGGTGGAACCTCTCCTGCAGCCCCCCAATTGCCCCCTCTCCCCAGATGGCAGCCTGCGGCAAGTGCAGCCGGTCTGATGGCCGAGTGCTGTGATGTGCCCAGTGTGGGTACTCCGGGCACTCCAAGCCAGGACTGCTTTGCAAGCGGGGCACCCCTGAGAACTCTCTGTCCGGGGTGGGGGTCGGGTCCCTTTAAGCACAGCCCTCGGCTAGCCTGAGACAGCAGCTCCATGCTCTAAGTCCTCATCTGATGCCCTGCCGGCACTGCTTCCGGCCATCCTTAACCCCGGTTCAGGGTCCATTCTGTGTGGACATGCTAGTTCGAATTAGCAAAATGCTAATTCGAACTAGTTTTTTAGTCTGGATGCGTTAGTTCGAATTAACTTAGTTCGAATTAGCGCTGTAGTGTAGACATACCCTGAAGAATTGGTGTCTTGTCTCACTTCTCAGCACAGACTATAAAATCATCGCCAAAGCCATCTCACTGAGACTGCAGTCCGTGTTGGCAGACGTGATCTATCCTGACCAGATTCTCTATGAGATCCCGGACTGCACCATCTTCAATAACCTTTATCTGGTCCAGGATCCCATAGAACTTGGGTATAAGGATAGTCTGCCATTCGCCCTCCTATCCTTGGATCAAGATAAGGTGTTTGACCAGATGGACTGATGGGTACCTCCTGGGCATTCTGCAGGCCCTCAGCTTTGGGCCCCACTTTGTGGGGTTTCTCCAAGTGCTGGACACTTCCACAGAGTACTTGGTCAAGTTCAACTGGACCCTGATCGCTCTGGTGAGCTTTGGGCGGGAGTACATCTCCTTTGCAAGAGGTTGATGGGGTTGGTGCTCTGTGAGGTGGAGATGTGGCTGGTCCTGTCAGCATAGGCTGACGACGTGCTCCTCGTGGTCCAGGACTCGGGTGACCTGGCACAGGTGGAGGCCTGCCAAGCTGTTTACTCAGCAACCTCCTCTGCCCAGGTCAATTGGGTCAAAAGCTCTAGCTTGTTGGTCGGGACCAGGTGGCAGGTGAGCTCCATCCCACCCGCACTTCAGACCATCTGGTGGATTGTGGGTCCACTGCTCTATCTTGGCATTTTTCCTTTCTGCCACGCATCCCTTCCCACCAGAGAACTCGCTAAGTTTAGAATCCAGGGTGGCTGAGCAGTTGCGGAGATGGACAGGACTGCTCTGGTGCCTCTCCCTGTGTGGGAGGGCACTGATGCTTAACCAGCTGGCCCTGTGCATGCTCTCTCAACCTCTGGTCCTGACTGTGGGTTTCCTGGCTCAGATCCAGCAGCTGATGCTGTGGTTCTTCTGGCCAGAACTGCATTGGGTCTCTGCAGAGGGTTCTCCATCATCTCCTGGTGGACGGAGAACAGGGCCTGACAAGTTTGCGTATGCGGGTTCATGTCCTCCATCTCCAGGCCCTGCAGAGGCTGCCATATGATGGAGGACTCTGATACAATCGGCAGCTCCTTTACTTGAGAAGTCTTCCATGAGACCTCTCCAAGCTGCTGGCCTTCTACCAGGACCTTCTACCAGGACCTCTTCTGGACCTGGAAGCTGCTTTCAGTGACCTGGTCCTTGGGAGCCACCATGGGGGCAGACCTCCTTGTGGAGCCTCTGCTACACAATCCCCATCTTCTTGTGCAGGCAGTGGAGTCCCCCTCAGTACACCAGCAGTTGGTCCTGGCAGAAGTCACCAGGATTGGACACCTCCTGGAATTCGACCAGGGAGACTGGCCCTCCCCCAACGCATGGTGCTCGCTACCCTGTGTACTTCAGGAAGCGAGGGATGCTTTGCCATCCACTGCTTGGGTTTATCTCAACAGGGTCCTTCAAGAGAAGGCACCCCACGTGTCCCTCACCCTGGCCCTCCTGATTTCTCCATCGGCCTCTGGCCCCACTTGTCTTCCAGATCCCCTCCCTCTCATCACCCCAGCTGGCTACATGCATTGCAGTCAGTCCCCTTTCAAACTGCACTGAAGAGTCATCTGTACAGCTAGTGCTTCACACTTCACTCCCTAACCCTTGTGTCCTGCCCAAATACCAAGTAGTGGGACTTCCTACCACCAGTAGAGGATGGGGAGCCCTGGTGGGCAAGTCCCTACTCCACCTTGGTTCTGCAACCCACCAGGGACATTAGCTGAAGAATCCTGCATGGTGCTGTGAGCATGGGTGTGTACTTGGCAAGGTTCAGCTGTTCCTGACACTTGTCTCTTCTGTGGCATGAGGGAGATCCTGGCGCACATTTATCTCAAGTGCGCCATGTTACAGCCCCTCTTTTGGCTCCTCCAGAACCTCTTGTTGAGGTTCTGGCTGCATTTTCCCCTCTCACCTATTAATATATGCACACCCCATCCGTGGCCCTACAAAGTCATGGGACCTCCTCATCAGCCTCCTCCTGGCTATAGCCAAAATGGCAATTTACAAGACCAGGGAGCAGAGGTTGGCTGAGGGAGGGGCCTGCAACTGAGAGGTCTCTCTCTGCTCCTGTATCCATTTACGCATCTGGGCAGAGTTCCACTGGGTGCCGTCTGCTGTCTTTCTTGATACCTTCGAGGGGCAGTCAGTGCTGTCCGGGGTTCTCTGCTCGCTGTCCCCATCCAGCTCCCTTGTTTTGACCTTAATACCTCCACACTTGTCCCTGTTTTCTCTTTATTTGTCCCCAGTAATCATTTGGCGTTCTGGGCTCTGTGGACCCTCCCAGTAGGCTAGGGGAAGGTCCTTTAGATGTGGGCAGGCTAATGCTCGCCCACCTCTCGGAATCCAATAGGACTGCTTTTTTGTAGCCTTCTGATCTGACCATGTCACAGCTAATATGAAAGATGAAGCCCCTGAGCAACACTGTTTTCTCTTTATTTGTCCCCAGTAATCATTTGGCGTTCTGGGCTCTGTGGACCCTCCCAGTAGGCTAGGGGAAGGTCCTTTAGATGTGGGCAGGCTAATGCTCGCCCACCTCTCGGAATCCAATAGGACTGCTTTTTTGTAGCCTTCTGATCTGACCATGTCACAGCTAATATGAAAGATGAAGCCCCTGAGCAACACT